TGGGACTACAGGCACACGCCACCATGCCTGGCTCATTTTTTGTATTTTAGTAGAGATAGGGTTTCACCATGGCCAGGATGGTCTCGATCTCCTGACCTCATGATCCACTCTCCTCAGCCTCCCAAAGTGCTGGGATTACAGGCGTGAGCCACCGAGCCTGGCCTATATTGTTATGACATTTTAATTATAATATTAGCCGGGTGTGGTGGTATGTGCCTATAGTCCCAGCTACTTGGTAAACTGACGCAAAAGGATCCCTTGAGCCCAGGAGTTCAAGGTTGCAATGAGCTATGAATGTACCACTGCACTCTAGCCTGGGCAACAGAACAACACCCTGCTTCTTTATAAAAAAACTTATGTATTTTGCACAAATACATAGAGAGAAAGAGGTCGGACATGGGCCTGTAATCCCAGCACTTTGGGAGCCAAGATGAGTAGATCGCTGGAGCCCAGGAGTTTGAGACCAGCCTGGGCAACATGGCAAGACCCCATCTCTACAAAAAAGTATACAAAATTAGCCAAGCATGGTGGCATGTGCCTGTAGTCCCAGCTACTTGGGCGGCCGAGGTGGGAGGATCAATTGAGCCTGGGAGACAAAGGTTACAGTGAGCCAAGGTCATACCACCACACTCCAGCCTGGGTGACAAAGAAAGACCCTGTCTCAGAAAAAAAAAAATACACACACACACACACACACACATTTGTTTATAATTATGTCTAATGTGATAAACAGAATTGTGATATTCCTGTAGATATGATCTAACGAGGTGGCTGTGTTTGTATTATAGATAGTGTTGTATGAAGTGCCATACACGTCAGTATGGTTTCTGTCACAATCGGTTATGTTGATGCAAAATATATTTCCCAATGCCAAGTAAAATACCCATCAGTAGCCGAGTGACAGTGACTGCAAGGTTTGCTTTGCCCGAGGAAGCAGATCCGGGGGAAGGCTGATCTGGTCCTCTCTGTGGAAGCCAGCTCTGCAGCCCCTGCATTTTTGGCTCAGTGTCACGTTGCTTTAAATAGCCCCGTCTCAGGTCTAGGAAGGTCATCCACCTACTGTAAACTCGGCTGACCTTACCCAGCCTTGGTGGAGACGGATGGGGTGACCGTCTCCCACACTGCCCGCAGCCATACTGTACCCCAGGGATTGACTCACTCTCGGTATGAAGCTGACTCAGCCCTACCAGCCACGCCTGTTACTGTCTGGCTAGGCACAAGTCAGATGGGGGAAGTCCTTGAGATCTGGCATAAAGTGTGCAAGGACAAAGCAGCTATGCATAATTTGTCCTTTCCAGCCAGTACGCCCCCAATGGTCAAGATGTAGCATTGTGGGTAAATGCAATTGCAGAGCTATTTACATATAGCATGATCAAAGTTTTATAAAAGAAATTGTAATCCTATATCAATCCTATGTGTATAGAAAAATGTCCAGTGAGATATATGTTAAACCTATTAATGGTGGGATTAAAATTATGAGAGGGGATTTCTTTCTATTTCTCAAAAAATTCTTTTTTTTTTTTTTT